GTGCATGTCATCGAAGTGTGGAGAAACAGCTCGGATCCTAGAGAGCAGAGCAAAGAGAAAACTTCAATCTCTCTATTATAAGACATCCCAACAAGTTGGAAGTATGCAATTCCCCACTAGAGCCAGGTGTTAGTATAAGAATTGCTATCAGTCAGGTAGTAATCAGTTCTAAAAAGCTTTAATTACACACTACCACAGAGGGCTCTTTTCAAATATGCACTCTGATGATCACGAACTGCTTACACTTAATGAAAGCATGTAACTTACTTGGGTTCAGGAATAAGGACTGGTTCAAAAATGTCATCCAATTTGTGCTGGACAAGTTCTGGCATTTCACATCGGACTGTACCATTGTCATTCTCAATTTCATCTAGATCCAGCTGGAATTCTCGGCGAACCATCTGGGCTGCCTCAGGATGTCCACTCATGCTTCGGGCTTGGCTAAAAGAAACAAAAGGAGGCTCCTGAACTAAAAGAGATTTATTAAGCAAAGAGTAAGAACAGCACTGCCAGTCGCTCTAAAGCTTCAAGACAGATGTTCAACTTCTGGTTTCAGCCCCCCTGAATGATTTAAATCTTTGAGTCTAATAAGTGCCTTCAATGGGCAACAGCACTGGTCCATGAATATCCTAAAAGTGCACATAACGTTAATTTGGACTTGCATTATCTGCCAAGTTATAAACATTCTCTCTAGTTCACCAAAGCCAACAAACCTTGTACTTCTGTTCCAGATGTGGTAGAAAATAATAAAGTCTACTTACATTGACTCAAAGCTTACTACTTATGGACAAAAAATATAAGAAAAATCCGGACTGGCTGTTTCTTTTCCACCAAATTAACCAGTGTTTAAGTTTTTCTAATCATAAGCGTCATTCCATGCAATATTCAGTATATTTTATATTTAATGGGATAGTCAGTCTCCTCTTTTTAGGGACAGTCACTCTTGACAGCTCAAGACCAGCATTACATCCAAGAAACAGGTATTCAAAGTTTTCTAGTTCAAATTGGTTAAAATTATACTCACACCAAAAATAGAGTTGTTTTGCATAGAAGGCAATATTTTAAGTCTCTGAGCCAATTCTGGGTTGCATGCATTTTACTTAGCCTTATCCCAAAAGTAGAAACTTGAGCACAACCAAATATAATACAAGGGAGAAGGTGAATGAATATTTTAGCCACATGACATTGAGTCACCATTTCTTCTAGACACTGGATTTTCATGGAAGGCTTGATTCATGGGATACTTATGGACACCCTCTACTAAGCCAGTCACCCTCCAGAGGGGATGAATCCAAGTCAGAAGTTAGAAAGATATAAGAGTCCTGCTAATGAGAAATTAGCAGGCAGTACTTACATCCTATAAGTGCGATACATAATTCTGTCCACGGAAAAGCAGTGAAAGAAGGCACAAGACCATTTAGAAGTGGTTTTGAAACAAAGACAAAGACAATGAAGACTGAAGGATTAAACATCTGATTACAAGACATTTACCCAGATGCATGTCATGCATGATAATGGCTACAAGAACTCAAGTTTATGTTACAGGACAAGCTCTAAGCACACAGGCAAAATCCATAGAGATGCTCTCAGACAACTATCTCTACCCACATACTTGAGTTTGGAGGACATGTCCTCAGCTGGTCCCTTACGCAGCATGTTGGCATTGGAGCTTATGCTCTGTGTACGCTGAGGTTTCTCTTCCACCTGTTTTATTGGTGCAGCAGAGGGCCTCTTTGCTGACCGCTTAATCCTCTCCTCGAGCATGCTCATATCCTTTTCAGAAAGCTGTAATAAGAGGCCAAATTTAATATATTAGCACATCCACCCACTAAAATATGAGGAGAATAAAAACCCAATTGGAGGATGCAAGAATTAATATCTATTTTCATATTGAAACAAAAAGAACCTACAATGTTAACACAAATTTACTTTGAAAATATTATTCTTTTTTTTTTTTTCAAAAGATGACTGGTAGGGGGATCTCAACCCTTGGCTTGGTGTTGTCAGCACCACGCTCAGCCAGTGAGCTAACCGGCCATCCCTATATAGGATCCGAACCCATGGCCTTGGTGTTATCAGCACCACACTCTCCCGAGTGAGCCACGGGCCGGCCCTGAAAATATTACATTCTAAAATCATCTTCTGTTAATAATACTTGCCTAGCTATAATAATAAGAGAACATATGAAAAAAGGAAAGGATAGAAAAGGAAAGTCTATTAATAATTACAAATAAAAGGTCAAAAATTAAATGAAGCTTCCTGTTTTTGTTTTGTCACCATAACTAGCTATGTGACTATGGGCAAGAAACTTCACTTTTGGTTATCTGCAAAATTCTCATCTGCTTTATTTCCTTCACTGGGTGGTAGTGAGGATTTAATTAGATAACAGAAGCAAAAATAGTTAAGCACAGTGTAAATATAGGTGATAGTATAAGATAACTGGAGTGAAGAACTAAGGTCTAAGTGACTGGCTCGAATGAAAAAAGGAGTCAGAGGCAGAACCTAATGTGCCTGGAAAATTGGCTCATGGCTGCAGCTCAAGACTCTTGATCTGACGGGTACGAGTATCCACACTATACTCAAACGAGTACTTGTTAACTAAAAACTAACAGCATTAAAATTACAGAGCAGATTGCCAGACAGAATTTAAAATCCAGATTAGCTTAGATTTCTTTATTCAAAAGTAGCTTTCATTTCTAAAACAAATTGCTATGAATAGAAATGCTTAGAAAAGAAAATGTGATTTCCAGTAAAACAGCCTAAATGTCGTAAAATAATCAGACACACCTAGAGGGGCTATCTGGACACATTAATAGGTTGAGTTTACTAACAAGTAGTAAAAACTTAGCTATAGTTGACATGGCAGAAAATCTGACACCTAAGAGATCTTCATAACATGCTGACAATGCTCAGAGAAAAGTCACTCACATTTCCAATCAGTTTGAACACCTGATCCCCATACACGTTGTACACTGTTACAATGGTGTTGAGAGCAGCATTGCGTACAGCATTGTCACGGTCTCCTATGTGAATAGCTATCTCTTTTAAGGCTTTCCCTGGGGTTGGTTGGCAAACATTCATGCCATAGGACTCGACCAGACACCCCAGTTCTTCCAGGCACTCTGATGGGGAAGAAAGGTTAGATTAATGAGACTCAACACACATTTGGCATAGAGACCTATCCCTACTAGATAAATCTTCCATGGCATACATGAAGGACTAAAATCTTATTTTGGCTTTGCCTACAACTTTTTCTTGTTTACTGCCTTTACCCAATAAAACAGTGGTGTTCTAGCAAGTGCTCCTGAACGAAAGGAATGCCTGTGACTACTAGATAAATCTTCCATGGCATACATGAAGGACTAAAATCTTATTTTGGCTTTGCCTACAACTTTTTCTTGTTTACTACCTTTACCCAATAAAACAGTGGTGTTCTAGCAAGTGCTCCTGAACGAAAGGAATGCCTGTGAGTCAGATGGCCCCTGTGCACTTGATTTTGTCACCAGGGTCGTACTGAGCAGTGCCTGTATCACCTGATACCATGGCTCCACCAGTGTGCAACTCATCACTCTCACAGTTTAAATCAGAAGGTGGAAATCAACTACTGAAGAAAGTTCCTTGTTCATCTATAAACTACTTCTTCTAGGGGTCACTATTGCAGAGACTCATGTCTCAATTTAAATTGTTTGCTTCACCTGCTCTCTGCTTAGAGTTTTTGGATTTAGTTCCTTCCATGATAAAGGGGAACATCTTGCTGGCTGGGTAGATAAGGCACATCCGGTTCAGGATGGCACGAACATCTTTACGAATGACATCCTTTGGTTCTCCAACCTATTCGACAAGGAAAATAATGATTAAATGAAGCATTTTCTGAGTAGCAATCATCCCCACCCCCCCACCACATTACTACATCCTGAAAGAATAGGGGCATGGGGATGATGAGTGGTAGAAGATATCATTACATAAGAAGTGAAAAAGAGGGAGTAAAAGTATAGGAACTGAGGTCAGCTGGGAATTTAAGCAGTTCCCAGAGTGAGAACAACACAATACCTTGAGGACGAGATAGGGGATGAAGGAAGATGCTTCATTCTCAGTAAGATGATACACCTCCTCACTTAGCAGGGTGAAGAGCAGTTTTAAATATTCTAGTGCTTTCATTAGGACACTTGTATTGGTGTCAAAAAACCGCAGGGTAAGCCACTTTAATATAAGATCCAAGCAACTAATAACACCTTCTTTTTCGCTCTCCAAGTGCTTAAAATAAGACAAAACAAAATTCCCACAAATAAGACTGTATAAGAACTTAAGTTCTATCAGGCAAAGTATAGCTTAAATTTTACTGGAGCCCAAAAAGAAAATGGTAGCTTTTTCAGCCTCCAATTAAGACCTAAAAAATACAGACATGCAGCCATTTATTCTGTCGATTAATAATACAGTTCTAACAACAAAAAACACGGTGCATTCTACTTCCTTCTCAAGTCACACAAACAACTTCTTATTTCACAGGGCTCAGTATTTTCACACGCCTGAAATATGTGCATATTTATCTATTGCTGACTTACATCAACCATGACAGCCAGAGCCTTGTTATGATGCTGAAAGTCTGAGTGAAACATCTCATCTTGTAACCATTTAGCTACACAGCTAGACATCTGAGTTTTCAGTTGCTCAATGTATTCATCCCGTGGGGTAGTAAAATTCCATTTCAGCACCTGAAAAAGATAAAAATTAAAAACAATAACAATGAAATGGGGCCATATATAAGGTGTTCAATTGAAATGAGGCAGAGAACCTTATTTAACGCAGCTGTAGGAATCAATTTAATAGGGTCTTTTTGAATTGAACAAGATTCATTTGTAACTAAAAAGTGAATGCAAAATGTCCTTTCAAGCGGTCATACTTCTGGAAGCTGAACAACTCTGAAAATCTTCTAGGAATAGAATTTTTAGCAATTCTTACTAGAAAAAAATCAATGCTATACTATAACTGTACAAAACATGGTGGACACTGTTGGCACTTTTTTTTTTGCATTTTCCTAGATTTTGACTCTTTACGAAGTCTAAAAAGTCTAAAATATTTACTATCTGGCCCTTCCTTCATTAAGGAAAAAAAAATGTTTGTGAACCCCTGAAATAAAACTATCATCATCATCTTCATTTTACAGTTGAGGAAATGAAGGCAGAGGTTCAGCAACCTGACCAAAGTCTCCTAGCTAAGGTGTGGCCAGTGAGACATGATTTGGGCATGAGATGATGGCATAACTTTAATAGATGGAAAATTTGAAATATCTATCAAAATTTAAAAAGCACATACCATTCTAGGAATTTAATATAGATATCCTCATATATGTGCACAAAGACCTACATTCAAAGATGTTTACAGAAGCATAGTTTGTAATAGTNTGGAAAATTTGAAATATCTATCAAAATTTAAAAAGCACATACCATTCTAGGAATTTAATATAGATATACTCATATATGTGCACAAAGACCTACATTCAAAGATGTTTACAGAAGCATAGTTTGTAATAGTGAAAGAATAGAAGCAACCTAAATGTCCAACATAATGGGTTGGAGAAAGGCACATACATATAATGTACCAATAAAAACAATGACACACACACATGACATCATCCTTCAGATATTTCAAAAAGCATTAACAGAAAAAAGTAAGATACAGGGCCGGCCCGGTGGCGCACTGCTACAGTGTGCGGCTTGGGAGCGCAGTGGCGCTCCCACTGAGGGTTCGGGTCCCACATACAGACCGGTTCCCGCTCACTGGCTGAGCGAGGTGTGGGAGCAACACCGAGGGATGTGATCCCGTTGCCGGTCCCGGTCCGGTATGGGCGCGACACTGAGGGTTGCAATCCGTTGCCGGACACAAAAAAAGACAAAAAGGAAAAAAAAAAAAAAAAAGTAAGATACAGAACAAAGAGTATGACATGTTCCCAACTGTGTAAAAGGAGGCCTATATATTCATATATATATGATTGTATATGTACCAAATATTTGTGGAATAATACACACACAAAAATCTGGTACTAATATCCTCCCTGTGGAGGGAGACAGCAACGGGAGACATGCTTTTCATCCTATACTCTGCATATTTTGTACTGCTTGAATTTTTAAAACAGCAATGTATATATTTTGAAAAATAATTTTTTAAATTGAATTAAATAGTGGGATTCATTTCTCCACTAGTGATGTTTAAAATTTTATTTATTTAAAAAAATTTTTTTTAAGTTCTAATAAAACCAAAACAACATAAGAGAAATAATTGAACTAGCCACCTATATTTTCACCAAATCTGCTTTTTAAAATACTACAGATGAGGATTGAAGAAGCAACCTATATGTCCAGTTGATAAAAATCAATGAATATTTTCCATTCTTTGATTTAAAAAATTAAAAAACAAAAGAGACAACCTTCCCACCACTAAATCATTTCTTTCTATTTAGAGGAAAGTAGGCAATATCTCCATTTTACAGTTTCTTTTGTAAGAATTAATGCTTCCATAAAGTAAACAGAGAAAAAATAAGGTAATTTATAAGCAAAAGATTCAGTTAGGTATTTCACTATATGAATTTCAGACAGCAAAACTATTCTTGATTAACAAAACAAAAACAAACAAGCAAAAAACTCCTGAAGATTCTTATTCCCTCCTTACCTTCAATCCTTTTTCATCTTTCATCCTTTGCTCCTTCCCATTTGGAATAACAATAAAAATAGGCCCAGATTTGTCTTCATCCTCCTTTAGGCTGGTTTTGCTTGGCATTTTCTTTCCTTGTGCACTCTACAACCAAGTTTCAGGAAATACTGATTAGCTAGGCCACTTCTCCTTGAGAATATGATGTTGCTGCCCAGTAAAAGGGCTCTACAGAAACCCAAAACACCTCTTTACATCATATTCCACAGGAAAAGAACAGATGAGTCATAAAATCTTGCATATGTTTTTGTACAGGTTTCTCTAAAATGTTTCCAATAATATTCTTAAGTAACTGTTGGTTAGTTCTTGGATTGGCATGTTATATAGTTGGGAAAGTTGCTATTACCTATCATTGGTCTGCGTCACAAACTATTTTGCTTATTGGATAGTTCTTTTCTTTCTTGAAACCTTTAATACTAAAACTTTCCATATTAATGACACTTTGAATGGAATTTTCACATCACTTAGTTCAAAAGCTTTTTTTTCTTCTCCATATTTATCGTGTTTGATTTTTGTTTTCCCTTTTCTTTCTTTTTTTTTTTTGGCAGCTTGCTGGTATAGGGATCTGAACCTTTGGCCTTGGTGTTATCAATACCACACTGTAACCAGCTGAACCAACCAGCCAGCCCCTCTGTCCATATTTAAATGTCTCTCTATCACAGCAGTATAACTGGAGGCCATTTGAAACTGCTTCTAGACAAAGTTGCTAGAAACACTTTAAATACTTGAGTCACTAATATGATTTTTTAAAATAATCCAAGATTTAGGATCTTTATATCAGAATTCATATTATAAATGAAGTAAGAGTTTATTATTTCTAGTTAGACAGAATTTCTTTCTAGTTCAAACGCTGAAGTCATTCAGACAAAACAAATATGAGATCATTTATGTAAAACTGCTTTGTAAACTGCAAAAGACTAGAAAAAAAATTATGACATTAAGAACAGAGTCAAAAATACTTTCAAAGCACTTGCAATCAAAATACTAAATTAAGAACATGTTAAATTAGGAATAAGGACAGGGAGAAGGACAGGAAAAGAATAACTTCACTGGACACTTTAGAAGATACTCATTGAAATTAACTCACTGAGGAGTTAAAGGGCCCAAGCATAGGGAAGAAAAATGGATAATTGTAACATTTAGAAGAATGGCCACACAGTCCCCACATCTATGATGTAATAAGAAATGTAATGGATAATAAAAGTTCCTATTCTTACATTTTTTATCAATTACACGCAGTTAATGAAATAATTTTCTCTATTCAGATTTACTATTAGATTTACTACTAGTTGAACAGTTCTGCAATTTTTTTGTAAATATTAAATAATCAACACACTGAAAACAGTGACCAGTTTTGAATCTTGACAT